TCGTTGAACCAGAGCAGCTAAAGTGTCAAACTACGATATCAATCAGTGCCATCCAACTTTTGGCCCTCCAGGTGTTGTTGACAAGCTGAAAGGTGTCCAGATGAGGGCAACTAAAATAATCAAGGGTCTGGAGAACAAGCCCTATGAGGAACGGCTTAAAGAGCTGGGCATGTTTAGCCGTCAGAACATAAGGCAGAGAGGAGACATTATGGCCATGTATAAATATGTGAAGGAAGTCATAGGAAGAAGGAAACAAGCTTGTTTTCTGCTGCTCTGGAGACTAAGGCACCGAACAATGGCTCCAAAGTACAAGAAAGGAGATTCCACCTGAACATTAAGAACTTCCTGACTGTGAGAGCTGTTCAGCAGTGGAACTCTCAGCCCTGAAGTGTGGTGGAGGCTCCTTTTCTGGAGGCTTTTAAACAGAGGCTGGATGGCTGTCAGGGGTGCTTTGAATGCGATTTTCCTGCTTCTTGGCAGGGGGTTGGACTGAATGGCCCATGAGGTCTCTTCCAACTCTATGATTTTTTTTACCATTAGGTGGGCCCAGGCTGGCTCACCTAATGGTAAAAAATTCTGCGAGCAGAGGTCCAAAACACCCGGAAGACCAAAGATTGGACTCCACTCATGTAGATTAATAATTCCCAAACACCTCCAGGTGTTTTTGGACTTAGAACTCCAAGACGCTTGTGAGCCAGTGATCAGGGATTCTGGAAGCTGAAGTCCAAAAATACCTAGAAGACCAAAGTTTGTGAAATGCTAGTGTAGAAGCTCCCAAGGTCTTAATACTTCTTGGCCAGAGAGTGTTTGTTGGTGCCTCACCCAAATACAGCTTACAGAGTGTCATAGCATTGAGCCTTGGCAGCTAAAATGATGTCATTGCTTTATTACAGCAGTGTAGAATCATAGAGTTGGAAGAGACCTCATGAGCCATCCTGTCCAACCCCCTGTCAACAAGCAGAAAAATAGCATTCAAAGCACCCCTGACAGATGGCCATCCAGCCTCTGTTTAAAAGCCTCCAAAGAAGGAGCCTCCACCACATTCCAGGGCAGAGAGTTCCACTGCTGAACAGCTCTCACAGTTAGGAAGTTCTTCCTAATGTTCAGGTGGAATATCCTTTCCTATAGTTTGAAGCCATTTTTCCATGTCCTTGTTTCCAGGGCAGCAAAAAACAAGCTTGCTCCCTCCTCCCTATTTATACATGGCCATCGTGTCCCCTCTTAGCCTTCTCTTCTGCAGGCTAAACATGCCAGCTCTTTAAGCCACTCCTCATGGGGCTTGTTCTCCAGAGTCTTGATCATTTTAGTCACCCTTCTCTGGACACATTCCAGCTTGTCAACATCTTTCTTCAATTGCATTGCCCAGAATTGGACACAGTATTCCAGGTGTGGTCTGATGAAGGCAGAATAGAGGGGTAGCATGATGCAGTGTAGATGCAGCCCTTGTAAAATTACAACTCACATGATTCCATAGTCTTGAGCCACAGTTCAACTGTTGTCTAGCTGCTTCAGTTCAATAGGGTAGATGTACCCATTGGTGTTTGGGCTTCTATCAGCCAATTCTTCATCTGTCCAAAGCAAGGACTCTCCTTCTACCCAAAAGAGTTTGTGGTTGAAGAGCTTGCACAGGTACATCTCTATGTGTTCCTTTTTGAAAGTGTTAAGGAGCAAGGACAATGAACAAGATTATTCTACATGTCCCCCCCCCCCTCACCTTATGAATTGAAATATAGATTGAGTAACCCTTATTTGGAAATCAGAAATGCTCCAAAATCATCCACATGGGTAAGGGTGGTTTGAAAAGGGATGCAAAGTTGGGTTAATAAAACTATATAACAAATTTGAAAAAAAAAGTTCCTCATTTGAAAGTTTTATTTCCTGTTTAATTGTGTGGAACTCACTTTGAAAGTAGTTGTTATACTCTGGAAACTTTGTTTTTGTGACTGCCACAAACTGTTGAATTGACGGAGACTCTATGAGATCGCAATTGAAAAAACATAGCAAAATATGCTGCAGGATGTCCCACAAAAACAAACTTTTTTGCAAATTGATAAACTTTTTCCATGGTTTTATGATAGAACCAATTAGGAAATGTCATTTATAACCCAGGAATAAACACTGTGTTACATAATGTACTAAATGGCAATACACACCCAAGAAGAGTAAAGTTCAATAAGGAAAGGGACAGCATCAACTTTTGACGTACTTCTGATTGTTCCTTGGTTCGTTGCACAATACAGGAAATATAAATTCTACTTCCTTATTGGTTGCTATTTATCATAGACTGGAAGAGTTACCTTGTTGGATTATCACTCCCCAAAATACCCAGCCAGCATGGCTATTTTGACACATTTTTCTTTTCTTTTTAGAAGTTAGATGTACAAAATATACAAAATAATAAAAATAATATGGGGCAATTTTATACCTCCCTGCTACTTGTAGATACTCATTCAGCTACAACCTACAATGTTGCAAAGTTTGTGCAGCAGTATACAAAATCCGTCAGAGGATGACTGGTCCAAAAGTTAACTCTGTGTCCAGTAATCATCTTCCACATTGTATGTTTTAACCGTGTTTCCCCTTTTGCTCCCTCACCCCCTATTGTGCTTCAGTATTTATATTTACATTTTAAGTGTACTAAACATACCAAGTTCATATGAAACTCTGACTTTTATTTCCTGTGCTAGTCTATGACTGAAATAAATGATTTGATTTGAGAAATAATATATACAAAAGCAACACCTTCTCCTGAAAATTCGGGGAGAAATCAGTGCCATCTAGTCATTTAAAAATATTCCATAAGAGCACTGATCTTGGAAATATCCCAGATTTTACAATATTCGACCATTCTCAATACAAGGTAATATCATATAGAAAGTCCTAAGTGGTTCAAGACCCAAGTATTTAAAGTAATGCTTGTTTCAGTACTGATCTGTTGCTTAAACTGTTACATAATGTAGATTACATTATAGTGAATACAAAAAAAAACTATCAAGCAATTTTTCATATTCTTCTACAAAGACTGCAGGATGTGAAACAATGTGAATTGTTTACATAGAGATCACAATCACTTTCTCTGCTGTTGAGTTGGCTCTTTCTTAAAAAGCAGTTTGACTTGAATAAATTTCAGCATTGTGAAATTGATCTATCTTGTTCCAAGTGAAAAACTACATTTCCTGGCAGTGCAGTGCAGGTTTACAGTAATTGTTACTATTTGCACAAAACAGGAATTTTCCCTTGTAAAGCCTGCATGGAACTATGTTCAGCAAGACTGCTGAAAATTGAGAAATTGTGACCTTCATGCCATGTGACCTAGCCTAATCTTTCCCAAACAGACAACATTGCTTAAGAAGTGTGTAGCTGATTTCAACTTATCATGTAGGGGCCCTTCCACACAGCCCTTTATCCCAGAATATCAAGGCAGAAAATCCT